CCTTTTTCCCTCCTACGCGTTTCAACGCTGTCGCGTCTTCATCAGGGAGTCTTTACTCAAAACATAAAAACAAATAAACAATAAACATGATTAGCAACTAATATTCGCTGATACAAAAACAATAAACATAGTTAACGACAAATAATTTACATTCATTTTTTCTACTTTGAACTCACATTCATATAAATATTGTTAACAAACATTGATCACACGATAAACGCTAGCACCAATTAAGTATTTTTGAACAATATTTGAACAATATAATACAACAAAAACTAGAAAATGCGATTAACTTTAAAAAGGACGTGGACAACACAAATAATGTTTATGCAGCTGCAATTAATATTAAATATAAATAAGAGCATAGGGTTAGAGTTTTATTATATTGTGCAAAAATACTTAATTGGTGATATCGTTTATCGCGTGATCAGTTTGTTAACAATGTTTATGTGAATGTGAGTTTAAAGTAAAAATTTATGTAAATTATTTGTTGTTAACTATTGTTTATTGTTTTTGTATCAGCGAATATTAGTTGCTAATAATGTTTATTGTTTATTTGTTTTTATATTTTGAATAAAGACTCCCTGGTGAAGACGCGACAGCGTTGAAACGCTTAGGAGGGAAAAAGGAAAATTTGTCTTTGTTTGCCAGATAACGTTTTATCAGTGCACTTGCAGAACATTCGCATTCGCAAAAGCTCCGCATTGATTTTTGCGAATGCGAAAACGAATGCGAATGTTAAAATTAATGCGGAAGCTCCGTGGTTGCGAATGCGAATGCGAATATTCGCAACAACCCTGATCCAAACATATGTGTTTTGTTCACTTTGAGATTATGTAGCTCATCGTACATCGTGTTCATACATGAACAAAAGCCAAAAGAGGGTTAATGTAGTCAAATATATGAATTGTTTAAATTTAAATTTTCAAATATGCGTACGTCATATATTGATTTCACTTTGTTTATTACATTATGCTTCGGACCACCCTAGTGTATATATATATTATCTATGTACATATGTGTGTATAGCATACAAAAGAATTAGATTAATTTTTTTTACTCAACTCGATTTCACATAAAGCGGTTTTCTAAATGCATTCGAATTATTGGCTGCATTTCTTTATCTATTCTGAATGTTTGAAACCAGCTTTTTCGACTACTTATTCGTTAAAACGTCCCGGATAATATGTTACCGTATATTCCAAAAGCATTATATTTATTCTGCGTTTTAGATGTAGCCATTATACATATTTTAAAAGGAGAAGCAGACTGAAAACGTTAGAGCCGTTTTTGTGGAATTTTTGAGTTTTTGAAATATGGCACCTTTTCTGGCATTTCTCGCGCCTTCTTTTTTGCATTTTCAAGGAGCTTATGGTGATTTTGTTTCTTCCAACATGTGTTTGACGTTACACTCAACCCTGTAAAAGGGCATGTTTTTGACTCTTGCCCTTGTCTAGCTCACGCATTTCAAAATATTGTCATTTCAAACAACCATCTGATTTTCAGAAGAATAAAAGTATAGTTTAAAAAACTAAAACCTCCCTATTATAATTGCCATTCGTACTGTCATCAGGTATGTAACTTGAGAATAGAAATCGCTGCATCTTTTAGGCGCATCAATATTACATAGTTACATCCCGAGCTAATAAAAGGAAGTTAAAAAAACAAGAGAAAAGGGCAATCAAAGGCGACATTTTTATACTAAAATGCGAATGCCATACTCAAAAATGTTTTGTAGTTAAGACTTTTAAGATTACGTTTTTTGGTACTCATGTAAGAAATAAAAAAGATAGTCACTGGTGGAACTCTAAATACTTCTCATCTTCTCCTCGACTTCAAAAATGAAGCGCGAGGTTTTGAGATATTTTATATGTATGTAGTACGTACATATGTACACAAGTAAGACATATGTATATAACATAAGCATGTATGTATGTATGTAGTATATCTTCATTTGTAAGTATTTATTTCTGGAAATAGTGCAATCGAAATACCGAACAAAAGTCGTGCAATAATAATTGTACAATATTCGTAAAAGTACATCACACGTCTGCAAGGTCTACAAATTGTCTTAATTGGCATAATTACACCACATAACACATTCTCAATTCTCAATTTGTTGTATTTTATTGGCTCAATGTGCTTATTTCAGATTAATTCATGGAGACAGTGAGGAATCTGTACGCTGCTCATATTGCTCCGTTTTGAATGAGAACGACTTACGTATATCTTTTGAAAATACCTGCACCGATTCTCTAGTAACAGCATTCGATGATGAGGCTTTATTAATATGCGACCAAGGAAACGAAATGGCAAGAACAAAGGTTTATTTTACGTTAATATTGCAGGGCCCATTCATTTCATCACAGCTTTAGTTTGTTTGTCTTCGTGACAAAATTCGCATTCATTTACTTATGAACTACGTTCTAAAGTAGAACATTTCGGAAATATACTATGTAGGAGTTTAAATCTTATATTAATGCATGCAAAAACGTGTATGTATATATGTAGAATCTTTTGTTTATTTATGATCTCAAAGTTAATATGCATCTCTATTTTACAATTAGGTTCACTTTGATGACGTGTCGTTATATGGCACTCCGAAGGAGGAGCCAATGCCTTCCATCCCTGTTGTTTCGGAAAAAGTTTCTGCGAATTTCCTAAAAAGTCAATTGCAATCATGGTTTCAACCGACGGACAATCGGTTGGCCATGAAGTTGTTCGGCAGTCGGAAAGCGCTGGTTAAAGAAAGAATTCGTCAGAAAACTTCCGGTCACTGGGTTATACATCCTTGCAGTTCATTTAGGTTTGCCAACTACTTAATTTATAATTCGAAAACATTCGTTAGATACATAAGTGATTTATATACATATGTATATTTTGTTTCAGATTTTATTGGGACCTTTGTATGCTTTTATTATTAGTAGCAAATCTTATAATCCTGCCAGTCGCAATATCATTCTTTAATGATGATCTGAGCACAAGATGGATTGCCTTCAACTGCCTAAGTGATACAATTTTTTTAATAGATATTGTAGTCAACTTTAGAACAGGTAAGTGATAAAAATAAACTGTGGACTTTTATGTATATGCTACATATTTCGTTCTATACGTAATATTTAATTTTATCTGCATTATAAAATGCTATTACGGCTTTGATTAATATCGCCATGGTAAAATTTTAGCCGAGAGCCAAAGTCCAACTAGCTTTAAATCTAAGAAAACTGTCGGAAACTAATCGGTTTTTTTTTCACCGTGATTTGAATTTTCTTCTCTACGTATATTTAAAGTAGTGTAAAGGTTAATTAAAAGTGTCATTTGGAGGGTCACAATGTACACCCTGAGAAAAGAGTTTAGTTACGTCAACTGTATATGGGCAAATCTAAAAAAGAGGTACACTTTCAAAATAAAAATTGTAATTTTTAAATTTGTGAGCACACCTATGTTTTATATATCATTTTATTCGTAATCTCTTAATAAATCGAATAATATAAGTGTAATTCATTTTCATTAAGTGCTTCAAAAGCTAGACGGGGAATAAACATGAAATAGAAAACAAAGGAAAAGAATAAGCTGGGTTCAAATTACGCTGTTCAGGTTGTAAACTTTGAGCAAAGATTTTGAAAGTTGAACTCACTTAATTAGCAAGTTCTAAATTCAATGGCATGCCCCGCTTTACCAGATTGGCCCCGGTTTTCGAGATAACAGTATTAAATTTAAACTATTTTATAAATAACTCCCTCAGTTTTGAAGTTATTTTACTAAAATTTTGCACAGTTTTTTAATATTACTTTAGTTATTCCTTAAAATTATCGAAATAGGTTCACATTAACATATAGCTCCAATACAACTGATTACTCAGATATGTGTTTTTGCGCTATAACTCTAACTTCATATCTGAATAATAAATTGTATGCGTGCTATATGTTAAATTGAACCTATACTAAATTGGGATCTATGGGAGCTAGATGTTTTAGTGAACCGATTTCGATGATTTTATGGAATAGTTAAGGTAATATTAAAAAATGGCCATGTGCAAAATTTTTAGTAAAAATACTTTAAAACTCAGGGACTTTTTTATAAAATAGTTAAAATTTAAGCAAAGCTTCAAGGTCCGCTATCTCGAAAAGTGGAGCCAATAGGGTAAAACTGAGGACGCCATTGAATTTAGAAGGCTCCAATTAAGTAAGAGCAAATCTCAGAACATTTGTCAAAAAAAAGTTGCTTTGATACCACTCCCGAAATATTCTGACTAAAAAAAGGAGCATCATTAAAAGTAGTAAATCAGGGTTTTTACACACTTCTAGATACAAATTTGTTGAAGCATTTTACGGGTATATTTTATAAGGACTAGCAGTTATAGAAAGATTTAGATCGTTTCGACGTATTTTCCAAATGTGCCTTCAATTAAGGTGTTTTTGGAATAAAAATTACGCTCAAGATCGCAGAATATTTTATCTTTAAAAGTTAGTTTATTCTGAAAGCACACCTCTTGCTAAGGTATCAAATTATTCGTAATTGTTTGTAGAATGCAATACATACTTAAAAAGTTCTTAAAATTAAATGCTTCAAAACCTATACGCAATAAACCAAAATTTTGAAAATTGTGAAATGTCGAGCTACAGACTTTGAGTTACTTGCCATTTCCAAGATTCATTTCGTTATTTTTTAATGCACACTTTTCTTGCCTACTACATATGAAGTGTACACATAAGTGCTAAATGCCCATTTAATTTCAAATCAGAATATGGTGTGCTTCAAAAGTTATGACATAATTAATTGTGCCCCCTCTTAAAAATTACATAAAAAATTCACTTGTTTTCATTATTTTTTAAAATTTAAACACCCATATTTCAAAAGTTATGCAGCCAGTTGATCTAATTTTTTTTTTTTAAGGCTTCAAGAATATGTCAATGAATTATATCCAAAAGCAACCAGCTTGATTTAGTTTACAACGGTGAAAATTAAGCTAAATAACACAAAGGCTCCTGTTTTTTAGATTTGCCCATATATGTAGCTCTTTTCTCAGTGCAGAACATAAAAATTTAAATATCCGGACATATTTCTCTCAACACGGGTAACCATCACCAAATCCCGCGTTGACGGCAGGCGCGGATCCACGGGAAGAAACTAGGGGAAAGTTCCTATCCCCTTCATCAACCCCAACCCTCGCCGCCCCCCCAAAAGGTTTCGTAATACCTGAAAAAAATTACACATTTCTTTGTATTTTCGTAGGCCCTTTCACCGAAAATTTTAATAAATATTAGCTGTTCTGTTCTTGGAGATATAAATATATATATATATAAATTCCTGAGAGCGGTAAACTGATTTAAGAGATTTTAATAGAAGAACACTTATTTTCTATTTTTTGAACGCCATATACATGAATTTTTAGTTTTTCTTAAGAACATAGGCCCAATTCTTGTTCGGAGAAAACGTGAAGTGAAAATATTTTTCATCACTTCACATAAAACTAAGATTTTTATTTCAAATGAATAGAAATTTATTTGCCAAAAAATGCTCACTGTGAAAAGCTTTTTAATATATGTATGTACCTTTATAGCTGTGAAAAAGATAAGTTGGACACTTTGCTGAAAATCGTAATATTTTGATAGAGGAAATTATTATCTTTTACTCACAGCAATTTATTAAATAACTAGCAGAGCACCCGACGTCGTTCGGGGTAAACAAATTAAAATATAAAACAGTAATACAAATATTCAGCTCAGCTATTTTCTCTCTGTTTAAATTAAGGCATCCTTATGAGCCAAATTTTTCGCTTTATCGTACTTCAAGTAATATATATTGATCATCACTTTCTGTACTAAAAATCATGTTCCATCATTAATATTGGCTGAATTAAGGAAAGGATAGAATTTTTAAATTATCGGGATCAGTAAAATGATTTCATCTTTCCATTTCAAAATGCTCTAAAGACCGTAAGGTTTCAAAAAAAAAACACAGTTTTAAATATCCGAGTGGTCTAATAGTTGAATACATATTTATCTGCCTTTTATAAAAACATTCATATATACTTTATTCTAAACACCTCCCATACATATGTCTGCACACCAAATTTCAAGTTCATGTGACTTGTGGCTCCCAATTTATGGCTGGTTAAAAATTCCACGCCTGTGGGATGTAACACGCCCTCTTTTACAAACTCATTTATATATACCTTACCAAATTTCAAATTCGTGGGTTTTATGGTGCCCAAGTTATAGCTGATCAAAAATTCCACGCCTACGGAATGTGCCACGCCCCCTCTTATAAACTCATTCATATACACCTTACTATAAGCACCTACCGTAGCTGTGCCTGCCTACCAAATTTCAAGCTCGTGGGGCTTATGGTTCCCAAGTTATTGCTGATAAATAATCCACGCCTACGAGATGTGCCACGCCCCCTTTTATAAACTAATTCATATACACCTTACTATAAGCACCTACCGTAGCTATGCCTGCATACCAAATTTCAAGATCGTGGGGCTTATGGTTCCCAAGTTATAGCTGATAAAAAAATTCCCCACCTACTTGATGTGCCACGCCCCCTTTTACAAACTTATTTATATTTATCTTTTTATAAGCACCTACCATAGCTACACCTGCATACCAAATTTCAAAGTTCGTGTGACTTATTGTTCCGAGGTTATACCTGATCAAAAATTCCACGCCAATAGGATGTGCCATGCCCCCTTTTACAAACTCGTTTATATATACCCTCCCATAAGCACCTACCATTGATATGTCTGCATATTAAATTTCAAGTTCGAGGCACTTATGGTTCCGAAGTTATAGATGATAAAAAAATCCACGCCTATGGGATGCACCACGCCCCCTTTTACAAACACATTTATATAGACCTTATTATAACCACCTACCAAATATGTATATAACTGCATACAAAATTTAAAGTTAATGCGACATATGGTTCCGAAGTTATAGCTGATAA